TCTCAATTACGAGATTTGTCGTGGCGCCTGCGGCACCTAGCGGCGGCGTCGCGCACCGCTCTCGTCACGTGGCGGGCGCGCGGGCCCGGCGCGCGGCCAGGCGCGCGTGCCGTAAGCGGACCGCCACAATATATTTAATTAATATTATTAATTTTATTTATTATTATTATATTAATATAATTTAATTATAAATAAAACTAAAAATTGAAGAAAATGTTTTAAGGTATTATACTAATAATTTCAATTGGGAGGGTCCCGTTCGCCTACAAATCGATTGCCAACAGTAGCCTTTGCCAACATGACTTTTGCCGACAGTTCGTTTGCGCACAAGTAGTATTGCCTACAGATCGATTGCCTACAAGCATTTTTGCGCACAAGCAGTTTGCACACATGATATATTGCCTACAGATCGATTGCCTACAAGCATTTTTGCGCACAAATAAAAAATTAATAAGCAAATGTACGTTTGCACACACGACACTATTGCGCACAAGCAGTATTGCACACATGACGTTATTGCCTACAGATCGATTGCCTACAAACATTTTTGCGCACAAGCAGTATTGCACACATAATATTATTACCTACAAATCAAACTAGAGAGAAATGTACGTTTGCCTACAAGCATTTTTGCGCACAAGCCGTTTTGCACACATATATTATTGCCTACAGATCGATTGCCTACAAGCACTTTTGCACACATTAAAGTTTTTGGTTCATTGACATTTAGCATGCGAATTGTGAGGCCGAGAAGAGAAGGATTAAAACTTTTTATTGCACAAAATGTGTCAAAATAAAACATTTTTTAATTAATATTATTACTGATCAACTATATTTCTATAAGAACAAAGTAATACAGAGAGTTAAAGAACAGACTATAAGAGAAGTAGGGTAGTATAAGAATTCAAATTATTTTAGATATTTTAATTATATGAATCAAACAAGTCATGATTTCCGAAAATTAAAAAAATATAAAAATTTAAAAACATTTAATTACAACGATAAGTAAATAAAATTCAAATTATTACAATTTAGGTGAAAATCTAACTATAGAAACGACAATGACTTTTGTGCCTAAAACATTCAAGCATTAATTCTTTCCCTTTCATTTACACAACGGCGCTTTGTCTATCTATGTAACGAGTTTGTCACACATGATAAAAAATGCGTGTTCGGACTCAAAATA